TCCTTATCCTTTTACTTCAAGTAATTACGATGAATGGACTCTAGTCGAACACACAGCCGGTGCACACAGCCAGTGATAACACAGTCAACTTCACCTATAACGAACTCGCTTATAGCGAATTTCATGATAATTATAACGAACCCTTGTTCATGTCCCTGTTTTAACCCGTACAACATTGACCCTTTATACTTTATAGCGAACAGCTTTCGTTTATAACGAACAAAAATTCTTATAGGGACACATGTAAACCGAGTGCAATCATACTGTCATATGCCCGCTTGCCAGTCATGACTTGATGCTTGTATAGTGTGAGTGCACTTCTGTTATAACAAACTTTGGCTATAAAGAACTAATTTTCCTGCACAATGGTGTTCGTTATATCAGGAGTTGACTGCATGAACTTTTGCACCCTACATGATTGCAGAGCTGTCCCATTCCATGTACTAAAAACACAGTTGCCGTACTGCACCGGACGGTATGCAGTGCGGCAACTATGCCTTCCACCAGTAGAAGCGGACGGGTGAGGGCCTTGGCCGGACAAAGGTGCATGGCAACATCCTAACTACTCTGTCCTCTGTGTGTGCGTGTGTGCGTGTGCGTGCGTGCGTGCGTGGGCGAGCGCGCACGCATGTGTGTGTGTGTGTGTGTGTGTGTGTGTGTGTGTGTGTATGTGTGTGTGTGCATGCGCATGCGTGCATCTTTTGCCTGCATGTGTGCATGCGCATGCTGACCTGCAACAATTACGTTTCCAGCGATGAAGAAGAGGTGAACAAAGTTCCGCTCGACAAGGAGAAACCCAAGGAGGGACCTTCAAAGTGGGAAGACATGAAGGCCAGGCGTGCCAGCAAGGCCAACGAGCAGCTGCTGGGTGGCGGCAACATAGCCATGAATCCCATGGCCAAGCAGAGCGTGGACAGATCACTGTTCCAGTCGCCGTCAACCGGTACATCTGTCACCGAGTAAGAAGAATGTGGTGAATAAGTGTTACTTTTCTATACTGTATATCATGTCATTTTAGGTGTACTAAAATTTCGGTGTCGGGGACCTGCCAGGTTTCAGGTGTAATTTAGAATTAAGTGACCAGCATTCCCTTCACATACAATGCATACTCTGGTGCCTGATATGTGTAATGTAAATTTAGGTGCCTGGTCTCTCTACCGAAATTACCGACATTAAAAGTTACGCCGAAGTTAACGTGTTATACAGGCTATAGTTCCCTGTTTCGTTCTTTCTAGCTGCTGCTCTTGCCTTCTGATGAGTGCTCCGCTTTGTCCGGATACGAAACTCTTGAGTCACGGCAAGGAAGAACTTGGTTGCACTGTTGATGCTTGAGAGCTGTACAGTCAGACCTGGTTTATCCGGTCTCTGTTACCCGGATCCCTCGCCATCCGGAAGAAAATAGCTGGTTACGGATTTACAGCATACGTGGTGCATCTAACATAACCGGTGTTCGGTTACTGTCCAGGCAGAGAACATTTCGTCGGTCAATAATTTCGTCCAACCCCAAAGAAAGGGAGTTCGTCCGGTTGTAAATTTCGTCCATGGATCATAAGAGTGCATTGAAAAGCTGGACAAATCGACATTAGTCCGTCATTTAATTTAGTCCAAAAGCACCTTGGACGAAAAAGACGAAATTCAATTCCAGACGAATATTTCTGCTTTTACAGTATCCGGTTCCCTCGCCTATTCAGATACATGTAGTTTGTGGAAAACGGATATGTGCAGTTAAGCGAGGTTTGACTATACGTCTTACCTAGTCTATGTAGAGTGAGTAGTTGTGCCATGGCTGGGTATCTGCCTCATCTCTGCCGGGTATGCTCCCCGTGATAGCGTTGTTTGCACAAAGGCAGTGCACGCCTTAACCTTCTACAATGGTCAATGCCTGCAATGAGTAGAGTGTGCAGAACACACCAGCTACGCACAGGAAAGCCAGGGATTGTCTGTTGCCTACAGGGCCGGCGCCACTGGTACAGCTGGTGCGGTCATGGCCGTACCAGTTTTCACCAATTCCAGCGTTCATATGATCATGGGCTGCTCAGTGTGCACTTGATTACCTGGAAGTACCAGTAGTAATCTATATCCCTAATACACTCCTTCCTAAAGCCTCTGCCTCCACAACTGTTCTTCTTGTCCAGTGAAGTTTACTCCGCTAGCTGTCATATTCTGTTGCTAGAGGAATGTGCAGCTGAAACAAACAGACAATGCATAAAGGTAGAGATGTATCCTCCTACAGTCCATTCATAAAAAGATGGGTCCTGGCTCTGGCGAGCTCCCGTATTTGGCGATTTTTCGTGATTTCATCGTACACAGTGCAGTGCTGCGAACTTTGAAATTTGAAAAAGGGTCCAAAAAGGGTGCCTGAACTGGGGTTCGAACCGCAGAATGCACTGTTGCAGGCGGGGTCAAACGGCCTGGATTTTGATGGTTTTTCCCAATTCAGTGCTTTTGGGGCAAAACCTGGCCGAAATTCTTGCTATGGCTTGCTTTTTGGACAAAAAAACTTCAGAAACATAATTGGAAGAGGATTCCATATGGGATTGCAGAAAACAATTCTAAAAAAACTCAACGTTTGACCCATTTATGGCCAAAAGCTAGAAGTTCATTTTTTCTGAATGGACTGTAGGATTTTGAAATTGGGCATGCGGAAATAGTCGGTTCTGTAGCCGACCTGGGGCCGTCTCATCCAAGCTACACCATGACGTGTTGTGTGTGTTTGTGTGTGCATGCGCATGTGTGTGTGTGTGCATGCGCACGTGTGTGTGCGTGTGTTTGTGTGTGTGTGTGTGTGTGTGTGTGTGTGTGTGTGCGTGCGTGTGCGTGCGTGTGCGTGTGTGTGTTTGTGCAACCTACAGTATTGAATGAAGACCTCATGCAACACGGAACACTGTACAGACAAGCGGCTGGTGCTAGTGGCTGTGCAACATTGAAAACTGACTCTTTGTCTGACTCTTTGTCATGAAAGTTCTCTGAGAGAACGTAGTTTAGTGCCTAGGAATCCGGCTTCACTTTGCGGTGGTCACCATTGTGACTTCCGCGCGATGCAGTGAATATACCTGGTGCCAATGCTGGTGCCCTGTAGTGTGTGTGTGTGTGTGTGTGTGTGTGTGTGTGTGTGTGTGTGCATGCGTGCACGTGTGTGTCCCTACCCTATTTCACATCTAAGCGTATAATTTATAATTATTATCACAGTACCAGTACTGTGCTGGTGCAACCCACTGTAACCATGACTACTGTTACCAAGGTGACTGTTCTGTGGAAGTTTACATCATGCTTTGTGCTTTGTGCACAGCGCTCCGAATATTTATTTATTTTTGACTTGTGCACGTGCCTCTCTAATCTTTACATGATGTCTCGCGGCATGTTGCATACAATTGGCGTCTTGCTGGAGCATGAATGATGAATTATTAGTGAGGGTGAGGTGGTACCGCATTTTCCGGAGTGTAAGCCGCACCAAGAGTAGATAAACGAGAGTGTGTAACTCCGCATCTCTTCTGCACTATCTGCAGATACCCCGGCCCACGGCGGAATTTTTGTTGATGTAACCTTTTTCAGGAAACTGTGCATTTCGTCGCAGAGCAGGTGAGAGCACGTGCTGGGCACCGACCTTGTGATGTAAAGCCCGGCCAAGTGCACGAGGCAAAACTTCCCAAAAAAAGACTCGCAGTGCGTGCGTCGTAGAAAAGATTACGTCAACAAAAAGCCTCCCTAGCTGCATGCGTGTTACCCTCAGTCCAAGTAGTGAGTACCCCCCCCCCCCCCCCGATCGTGGGTGTCGGCGCAGTCCATTGCATGTACAGTTGCGCTCAGTGAAATCCGGCTCAACGTGCAAAACTGACGCCCTGGACCAGTTCCGATAACATCATTCTACTTGTACATGCCACTTCCAAGGCGTCAAGGGCCATGCAAGCTGAGGGTGCCACATATGCACTCTGGGTCGGATTTCACCGAGCATAACTGCACTTGCCGACACTGAGCGCATGGCTCACACAGCTGCAACACAATCACAGCCACCAAAGAATGCTTTGACACACAAGATCAAGAAAATGTCTACACAACGACAACAACAACAGCAATGCCATGTGCATTGCCATTAGGCAAAAGATACACAATGGATGAAAAATGCTATACAAATGCAAACCCAGATAACCAGAAAAGGAAACATTAATATGTAATCCCATAACAAAAACAATGTGGCATGTGCATTGGCGCTATTCATGATTATTATGGTCCGCCAGAGGCCACAGCTAAACTGCAAGCTATTACGTGTCAGGAAACATATCCTGCATTAGTTCAGACGAGAAGAAAATTATTCCAAATACTGGCGAATAGAGGTAAAATAGAGGTAGTGGCTTTGGCAAAAAGGGAGAGCTCCTGCGTAGGAAGCAACACGCATTCCTCTGTATAGAGGCGGTACAAACTAAAAACAACCCATCATGGCTAATGAGGGGTAATGACTATATCATAGAGAGTGATAGCTTGAGCACAGCACAGCACACACCACACACATGCACACACACGATCACCCAATCGCAAAAGTTTAGTACGTGCGGCAGGTCCGGGAACCGACCATACGTGTATCCACACTACAGTACAGCTGTCCACTGTCCTGCAGACACGAACATACTACAGCCAACTTCGCTTATAACGACACTCGGCGAGGCATCAGAAAAGTGTCCTTATTCGCGAAGTGGCGTTATACCCGAAGTCTCATTATATGTGTCACAGTTGGATGGGACTTTGCTCTGGGCATGAAAATTACGTCGTTATTCGCGAATTGTCGTTATATCCGCAGTCGTTATTAGCAAAGTTGACTGTATTCCCTACAGCTGTCCATTGGCTTGGATGCACAAACATACCATTCCCAATAGCTGTCCCCAGGTTCGACTGAAAACTAGCCGCACTATAACTGTCCACACTGGAGACGTCAGCAGACTATTCACAACACAGCTGTCCACTGGCTTGCAGACACAAACATACTATTCCAAGTCTAACTATAGTTGTTCACTCGCCTGGAGACACAAATGTACTTTGTACTATACAAACGATAGCGGTCCGCTGGCTTGCAGACACAAACATACCGACTTGGAGACAAAACATACTATTCGCACTATAGCTGTCCACACTGGAGACGTCAACATACCACACACACGCTACAGCTGTCCGCTGGCTTGGAGACACGAACGCACAACCAGACGCAGGGCCTGCGCCAGCTCATTGCAACTGAACGGCTTGGACAGTGGGGGAACGTGGACAAACAGAGACGGCGCCTTGTCCAGCGACAGCGAACAGTAATAGGAAAAATTACAGAGGTACCTGGAAATGAGGGAAAAGGAGACAAAAAAGAAAGAAAGCAAAGAACGGATCAGCAGTAGGAACTAAAATTGGCCTTTTTCCTCAATGTTCAAGCTCGCGCTTTTCCTGCTGACCTGCCTTGATTCTTGACTGACTCACGGTGGCAATCCAGAGTACACGAGAATCCAATCGCACCTTCGACTACATCAGTACATCCTGCGTTGTGTGACCCGTGAAATAATACCTTGCCATGTTTGAGGCCAGAAAGGTCCAATGACAGGAAATTGTAAATTCAGCCAGGTTTTACAAAATCAGGACAGGTATAGAATGACAAAATGTATGGAGAAGCAGATCCAAAACCCAACATTTTCAAGTCTTAAAGTGGGTTTTCAGCCTCAATTTGGCCTAGTCAGGCTTTCTCTGATCTAGCAGGACTATTTTGGATGAATGGACCAGGGGCGTCGGACACAGTACGGTCACTACGGTATTGACCGTACCACTTTTGCCCCAGGTACCACTTTTTGCCCCAGGTACCCCGTGAATTAATAAAATACAGGAATCTGGGCTCAAAAATTCCAAAATTTTCGGCTCAGCAACCCCTCCCCTACGAGTAAATTGTACTTCAGATGGCTGACCGTACCACGCTAAAATACCTTCCGACGTCCCTGTGGATTGTAGGCAAATCTGCAAGAAAGCACCCCACCCTGTCCAATACTGGTGCACAGTGTTTCCGGGGATTCACTCCTCGTCAGCTGAGCTTGAGCAGGGAATGTAGAACATAGTGAGTGGAGTGTTACTTAGCACCGCAGCATCGCTAGGCAAATACTGGCTATTCGAACGTGCTTGACGTGGTCATTGCCAGTTGCAGCCGCAATGCACCCGTACTGCACTCAAAGCACTTGTGATTGTACCCCGTCATGCACCCGCAATGCAGTAGCAATGTTAGAGATGCGCTTACCGAAACCTGACCTAACGTGCAAAGCTGGTGGCGCCCTGGACCAGTTTCGACTACATCCATGTACTTGCTGTTGGGTTGACAGCATGAAACAAGGTGGAGGACACCGTGTTCAGAAACAGTGACCTTTCTACAACCATCCACGGTTGGTAGAGCCCCGGTCGGTTGCGACCATCTGAACCATATGTGTTTGAACAAACAAGGTTCATCTAATGCCATTCTTGTACTTGTACCATGTGTACGATTAGTGACTATAGTCACATCCGCGCCACTTCCAGGGCGTCAACGGCCATCCATGCACGTGGAGGACGCCAAATATGCACGTCGAGTCGTACTTCACGGAGCACAACTGTACTTGTCTTGCAAATTACCCGTTGTGTGCCCGCAACGGGGCCGCAATGGACTCCTAATGTCCTCGTAGTGCACCCGCCATGCACTTGCAATGCACTCGCACTGTGCTCCTAATGTACCGGCTTCCCGACTGGCTAAACTTCTTCAGTCAAGCATGTCAATGATAGTGTAAAGTGCTCACAAGGTGAAAAGAGTCATTCGGGTGCTTACCGCCCGGCATCGTGTGACGTTCGGAACACGACTTTCAAACCGTCGGATGATGCTTGGTCTGCGCAGCGCTTGCATACATCGTCTAGATCCATCTTGCAGTGCAAATCCGCACAACCACCTGCATGGACACCGAAAGATACACACACACACACACACAGGCACAGGCACACATGTCCACATACATGCACACACACAGATGGAGAGAGTAGGCGAGAGAGTGAGCGAAAGAGAAAGTGTGTGTGTGTGCGTGTGTGTGTGTGCGCACGTGTGTGTGTGTGTGTGTGTGTGTGTGTGTGCGCGCACGCACGTGTGTGCACACATGCGTGTATGCGTGTGATAAGTGAGTGAGAGAAAGTGAACAAGCCACACACACACACACATGCACACACAGGCAGCAGAAGCGGCAGTGGGCCTCACCTTCGACACAGCAGCCGTAGGGTGGCAGTTTCCTCTCGACATCCAGAGTATCATGACCAATGTTGACAGCACACTCCTCCAGTGTGACAGCTTTTCCACCACCATCCACTCCCACATGGATGACAAGCTGGATACAATACACAGAAACAGAGCCAGTGTCCGGGGCCTGTTTACACGAGAAAAACATGGCCCACCCTGGGCTTACATACAAGAACACAGCCAGGGGCAGTTTACATGAGAAACATACGCCCTGGCCTATTCGACCCTGGGCTTACACACAAGAACAGAGGGTACCACTATCCAATGAATGGACTGTAGTTAAATCGCAAAGCAAACGTGTCCCAAGCAGCCAATCTTACCACAGGATCATGTTCTTTCCACAGGCTTGGTACCATTTCAGACACCTCCTTGTACAGCACAGGTATGTCCTTGATGACCAGATCAAAGCCGTCAATGTGCAGACCGATAGACTCCAGTTCCTGCGGCATGGAACAACATGTGTGCACACATGGATACAAGCATGCACACACGCACAAACACACACACACACACATGCACACACACACACACACACACACACACACACACACACACACCATTGGACCATTGGACGCCCATCGCCGGAGGCGATGATAGCAATGCTACAGCAGAAGCCATAGCAGCTTGTGCTGGGATTGCACCATTCAACAGCTTGCAAGGCTGAAGAATTGACCGCCACTATTCAGCCTGGTCTACACCACACAGCTATGAAGTGGCTTTTTCTGGCCAGTGAATCCCTACTTTTTGGTCTTTCTTCTTTTTCTTTTTTTTCCGCACACACACACACCACACCACACACTCCGGCATGCACTGGCTGTTGGTAACCACCCAGGAGAATGAAAGAAAAGTCAGGAAGAGTCTGAGAAAGAGAAGAAAGACGTGTGTGACCATAATCGTCGGGAATCGAACTCGCAACCTATCGATTGGAAATCGCTGCACATACCACTGCACCATATGGGACACACACACACACACACACACACACACACACACACACACACACACACACCACACACACACACACACACACACACACAACAAAGAGATCAATCATTGGTCGGGCCGAGTACACACACTCCGGCAAGGTGCACGTTAAAGCGGTCAGTTCTGGCTGAAACTCGAACTCTGAAACAGTTTATTTTATTGCTACATATACTAAGTTCGTTTCCAAAGCTGGTACATAGCGTCATTTAGTCCGAACTCCTACCACACGCCCTATCCGACTGACCGCATTCACAACACCAGCAACATGATTCCAAGTCATTATATTACACCAAGAGTAGATAAACAAGAGTGTGCAACTCGCGGATGGGTTGGCCCACGGCGGAATTTTTTGTTGACGTAATCTTTTCGACGACGCACGCGCTGCGAGCCTTTTGGAGAGTTTTCCCTCGTGCACTTGGCTGGGCTTTACACTACAAGGTCGGTGCCCAGCACGTGCTCACACACTGCAGGGATCGATTTATCCGGGTTCGCATCGCAGTTTGCGAATCAAAATTCACTGGCTGCGATTCGCTTTTCGTTTTTTATCGCCCAAAACTGCGATGCACTACAAAGACCAGTTGTGTGCAGTCTACATGCGACTGTTGTACACACTGCTGACTAGGGAGTAGTATTTTACTACTCCAACCAACTGGCCTGTCCTGCTCAGTCCGCGCGCGGGTCGCGGACTCGCGGATCGTGCTCTTTCGATTTTGGACACTGCACTAGCACTGGTCGTACATGACTGCAGTCTTCTGAAGTTTTGTACACGGCGGTGACTTTTCCTGATGTTCTCCTTTCTTCTTTCACTGTCAAGCTCAGTTTGTTTCTGTTCGACAAGGCACAGTTGAATTCGATGGTTCTTAGTCTCATGTAGCCAACATGTCAGTGAATCTGATCAGTGATTCACTGTCCAGAAGAGGGACAAAGAACTGGACGCGCCAGGAATGTCGATTCGTTTCGATGAAGAAAAGGAGAAAAGCGAAATTCGATACGCTTTGCACGAAATGTCACGATCGTTTGAGCGCTTTCCTGAGGTTTCTTTGTCGAAGGAATCAGTGGAACTGCCCTGTTGAAAGATATTGTGTTGTGAAGAACTCGAAGACGGATGGACGCTGAACATGTAACGTGCCCAAGCGAAAACTCTAACGTAAATATTCAGGTCGAACATTCGCTTGGAAAAGAAAATAGCAACTGCAGCTATTGTCCTCTTCTGTACGAAATCCTAATATTGTACAAGTATACATGTAAACTTTTGATGAAGGAAAACTGCTAATCAATACTGGGAGTTGCTAGTCAATTGTAAAACTGTGTAGCAGTGACTGCTATGCAAAAAAATCAAAGTAATCGATCCCTGCACTGCTCTGCGGCAGAATCCGCGTTTCTCTGAAAAAAGGTGACGTAAACAAAAAATTCCGCCGTGGGCGCGGGGTATCCGCAGAGGTGCAGGAGAGATCCGGAGTTGCACACTCTTGTTTATCTACTCTTGATTACACTCATACCTCGTTTATCCGAGCGGTCCGGGACAGGGCACTGCCCGTAACTTTGAAATGTCCGTATGTAGGTAACTCTTGAACTCTTTGTTCTTTCCAATCTCATTGCCCATGGCTTACACAATCTCACGACTTACCTTCACTGCCTCCCAGCTTGCATTCAAGGGATGTCCCTTGAACGGACGAACCCTGCCATAAGACAGCATATACAAGAGTGCACACACACCCACACACACACACACACCACACCCACACACCATTGGACGCCATCGCCGGAGGCGATGATAGCGATGCTACAGCAGAAGCCATAGCAACTTGTGCTGGGATTGCACCACACACACACACACACACACACACACACACACACACACACACACACACACACACACACACACACCATTGGACCATTGGACGCCCATCGCCGGAGGCGATGATAGCGATGCTACAGCAGAAGCCATAGCAGCTGGTGCTGGGATTGCACCATTCAACAGCTTGCAAGCTGAAGAATTGACCGCCACTATTCAGCCTGGTCTCACCACACAGCTATGAAGTGGCTTTTCTGGCCAGTGAATCCCTACTTTTTGGTCTTTTTCATTTCTTTCACGCACACACATCACACCATATACTCCGGCATGCACTGGCTGCTGGTAACCACCCAGGAGAATGAAAGAAAAGTCAGGAGGAGTCTGAGAAAGAGAAGAAAGACGTGTGTGACCATAATCGTCGGGAATCGAACCCGCAACCTATCGATTGGAAATCGCTGCACATACCACTGCCCCATATGGGACACACAACCTTGACCTTGACGCCCATCGCTGGAGGCGATGATAGCAATGCTACGGCAGAAGCCATAGCAACTTGTGCTGGGATTACACCATTCAACAGCTTGCTCGGCTGAAGAATTGACGGTCACTATTCAGCCTGGTCCACACCATACAGCTATTTGGAGTGACATTTTCTGGCCAGTGAATCCCTATTTTTTGGTTGTTTTTTGTTTTGTTTTTCCCTGCACACACATCACACCACATACTCCGGCATGCACTGGCTGTTGGTAACCACCCAGGAGAATGAAAGAAAAGTCAGGAAGAGTCTGAGAAAGAGAAGAAAGACGCGTGTGACCATAATCGTCGGGAATCGAACCCGCAATCTATCGATTGGAAATCGCTGCACATACACTGCGCCATATGCACACACAGACCACACACACACACACACACACACACACACACACACACACACACACACACACACACACACACACACACACACACACACAGCAATGAGCAAGTGTGAAGAGCAGCATGGCATGTGGGCATGATCCGGGTGTGAAAGTGTGCATGCATAATTATGCCAGACCATTGCGATCACTCTTGCCGACATTGTCCAAATCCACCCAAACATGCCCAGACTTCTAATTCTACAGGTAAAACAATGAACAGATATGCTGATCACTACATTCATACAGTAATACCAGTGATGGTAAGAATGCAATGCACCACAACAAGATACTTGATACAGGGACGTGAGTAGCATGCTATCAGCATTTCTGGGGCGTAGAAGAACTAGACAGACAGCATGGAACCCAGCTACAGTCAATCTACGTATATGATCAGATTTCCGGCTGTAGGATGGTAATCAGGGAGTGGTACAATACCGGTATTGTACTACTCCCTGATGGTAATAGTCTACTTGGTAGATCTACTAGTGCTAGATGAACGCTGGTGTAGAGAACCCAACCTGTGACGAGTATTGTTTTGCCCATTCTTGATCCAGGCTAGCTGGTAGACTCTCTCCTGGTTTCTCGTGTGGCTGTTCTAGTCTCTGCTAAACTGCTAAATTGCAGCGCCTGTGCTCTTCGACTAGTCGATGTTCAAGCAGCGTCCAGTCCTTGCGACGACTATGATCCTTGTAATAGTTGAGGCAGATATCTTTTCGTTCAAATTAAATTTATAATAATTCGTAGAGCTATTCGAACTGTACTGTTGCCACGATTCGAACGTAGTCGCTTCAAGCAACAATAGAATTATGTTGCATACCGGTGCGTGTAAAAGGCAATAATGACACTGGTACTGACGATACTGATTTGCAGTCTAGTAACTCAAACTAAAAAACTTTTTGTCTTTGACTGAGTACCATCACTACCATGTAATTGTTACTGTACCTTCAATCAAATGCATGATGACTAATTTTTCAAAGGTCATGACTCATGAGGTACGTGGATCTATACGTATGTCGTATCAAGAGGTAGATAAATTACCCATATAAAAACCGCTCTGTGAGGGGGTTCTGAAAACCTCTACTGGTGCAGCCCGTCGTAAAAGTAAGAAATTAGAACTGGCGCATTGTCCTCCCAAATGTGAACTGATCCACCTAAAATCGCGATTGACGGGACCCGAACGCACCAGTAGCACGAGGTTCCTACCTGTGGATGCAGCTGCCTGGGGACGCTGGTCCATAGCCAAAGCCAAAGCGGCAAAGGTGGGCTTCGGTGTAGATCTAAGTGTTGTATGGTAACTTGATCAGCGCCGACGCCGGCTGTGATCCTGTGCCCTCCCGACCTCGTGCTACTGGTGCGTTCGGGTCCCGTCAATCGCGATTTAGGTGGATCAGTTCACATTTGGAGACAATGCGCCAGTTCTAATTTCTTACTTTTACGACGGGGCTGCACCAGTAGAGGTTTTCAGAACCGCTCACAGAGCGGTTTTTATATGGGTAATTTCAGTTCTTTTTCTGTTCCCTCCCCCACCCTAGCCCAGCTCCGAAGATAAACATGGTGAGCACGCGCGCGATGCACTGTATGTAGCCATGCAACTACAGTAGCACACTGATACATTCCCAGCCCTCCCCACCTCGCTACCCCGCACACAGACACCTTGTGACAAAACACGCACATGCACATGGCACACACACACACATGGGCACGCACACACATACATACACACACACGACCCAAACAGGAATTCTTGATGAACATTGTATAATGCCATGCAAAGCAGTGGCCACCATACTTCAGGAAGTCAGTTGTGAAACAAAAATAATTCAACTACATGTACAATGTGTAGGTAAGCTAGCGGCCAAAGCACAATATTGCAAAACCGTGATGATATTTGCCTAAGGATTGCAGTTTGCAGACCACACCATGGAAGCAGTGAATACAGAATTATTGTAATGTCATACAAAGACAAGCAAAGAAGTGGCCACCATACACCAGAACTTGCAGAAAGTCACATATCCAACAGATAGAGAAGTGAACAGCGTCTGGTACAGCCCACACAAAACCAAGCTGACCTGATACTCGTCCGAAGATCGTAAGTGGCAGATCCTTTTCAACGATAGCAGGCAGGTGTACGTTACACGCATGGACAAAAATCTGACCGTGTCACCGGCATACATTGTCATCACATGCATACCCCACAGGTTACACACATGCACAGTAGAAGCACAATAAAAGCAATGGAAAAATATGAAGGGGTTGCTGAAGCATCTTCACACTTCAATTTCAGACTTCGATGTGGTCGTCACGGGGTGATATACCTGCAAGATACAAGTGATACAGAAAGAAAGCATAAGGTCGTGAGGTAGGCTATGAGACACCACAAATGGGTCACCTACATGTATGTTCAGGCTGGTGTACACACACACGCAGAATTATCATAATCGAGAATTTCCCAAACTACAGAAGAGCAATGAAATCCATTTGCATGCACAGGAGCAATTTTGCAGTATGATGAGCAGCTCGGGAATACACTGTTGGCAATGGATTACATTCCCATTTGGAATTCCCATTCACGTGGGATTCACAGAAGCAATTTGGCAGTGTGCTGCGCAATGCGACACGACCTGCGATTCTGCGTGCGATGCAAACTCGCACAAAATACCATTCACAGAATCAGGACAAGACGTCAGCGATGCAACAGCGCCTTGCTGACGTGCCTCAAGTCAAAGCTCAATGAGAATGCGTTTGTCGGTTACAACTGGTACAAATGTACAAGCAATTTCTGAAAATGCTCCTGTGAATCCTGCTTTAGGAAGTGCAGGAATGTCCTCTCCTCCGCTCCCCCCCCCCCCCCCCCCCCTCCACACCTTCAGGGAACTTGACAAGGAAGGGTGGTCTTCGCGGTTCCCAACATCTATTTGCAGTTTCTGGTCTCCCACTGTTTCTTTTCAATGGGGATTTGTACGTACCATAAAAGCAAGCCTAAAAAATGAACAGCACATTTGCCGTTCCCCCACTGGGGAGGATGCGTTCCACAGCTATCCTGACAAGATATTCCGAGAAGCGGTGCTGAGTGCAATGCATTGTGAAACTGAAAAAGCTGACCAAGCCGCGGCATATAACGTCTAAACTTCAATTGTAGTTCGCCAGCTGACTACTTTCAAACTCATAAAGGTTGGAGTACAGCTGGCTTAGAAGTTGACAACCAACGGCGCACGCACATAAGCAATGGCCACCTTACCTGTACTGTAGCAGTACTTTCCCGAGTTCCGTATGGGAGTTCCCTCACTGTGTGTGCAATAGCAGCCTCATCGGACCAGTTCAATGCGACGCGGACAGTCCGACACTGAGGAGGACATTGAAGAAGTCAGAGACAGGAAGAATGGTTGATTTACAATTCAACTAGCAAGGCTGCACACCCACGAAGTTCCACTCACCATTGTGCCGTCCTTCTTGGAATGCAGAAATAACGCTTCCTCTCGAGAACGCAGCCTGTGACAGAGAAAAAGGAAGGAGCACTCGCCATCGGCATTGGTCCTCTGCTATCACCGATTGCCGAGTTGCACAGTTCACTCTAACAAGACTGAGGATGTTCAAGAACTCCCCATCCATACCATTAATGGAGTAAGAGGAAAGGTCAGATTGCCTAGTTCCTAGGGGCCTGGCATTCCTGGATGCCAGGATGTGCTGCCCTCCCCCCCCCCTCCCTTCTACTGTCTGGAAAGGGCAACATATGTGACAGCGTTCACCAGTACAGTCGGAGGAGAACATGGGAGAAGGCAAAAAGGGCAACACACATGAATCCCTTATAAACAAGCAGTGGCAACTCTAGCACCAGCAATGTTGGACTTACATCCAGCCATTGCCGCCGGATTCAGCGGCTTCTCTCTTCGTCTCCCATCTTGGAAGCACTCCTTCCCGTAAGTTCAGTCCTGGGATCGGGAGTACAGTCGGAGGAGGACGTCGGAAAAGGCAAAAAGGCAACACACATGATTCCCTTATAAGCAAGCAGTGGCAACTCTGGCACCAGCAATGTTGGACTTACA